GGGGGGGGGGGGGGTCCCAGGTGTCCCCACACACCCCCCCAAGGGATGGGGGGCTCACCTGACCCTGCCGCCAGTGCTCCTGGAAGAGTTTGTAGTTGCTGGCGTGGCCGGGGTCGTGCAGCCAGAGCAGCCCGCTGGGCTCCAGCATGCAGTGGGATGCGGGGGGCTCAGAGGGGCTGGGGGGGCTCAGCTCTCCCCCCCCCGCCTGCCTCTCCTGGATCTTCCTCTCCACCACGCGGGCGATGATGCTGTCCAGGATGCTGGTCAGGCGGTTGTCCTGGAGAGCAGGACAATGGGGACACCCTCAGCCCACCCTGCCCCCCCACACACACAGCACGGGAAGGGGTGCCCTGGTCGCCCCCGGGGACTCACACTGGGCAGGGTGGGCACCACGGGGGCGAAGGCCATGCGCACCCCGTCCTGCCCCAGGCACAGCTTCACGGCGGTGGAGGCCAGCAGGTCGCACAGCGTGGTGGTCTGCACGGCCCCCCGTGCCGGGGGCTGCCCCGGCGACGGCGGCCCCACCTCGGGGCTCTCTGCTCGGGGAGGGGAGGGAGAGAACACGGTCAGGGTCGCCCACGCCGCCCTCTGCATCTCACCCCTCTTGCCCAGCACCCCGAGAAGGGGAGGGGGTGCAGCATCCCTGACCCCCCCGGGGCGGGGGGGTCGCAGCCGGCCCTACCTTCCTTGATGGGCCGGGAGGGGTCGGCTTGGCCGCGGCTGGGGGGTGGCAGGGTGGGCACCGCGGCCCCTGGCGGCTCCTGAAACACCCATGTGGGCGTCAGGGGGGAGCCACATCCCACACACCCCCCCACAGACACTCTGTGCAGGGGTTGGGGTGCAGCTGCACCCCATTATCCCCTCCCCTATCCACAACCCCCCCCTCCATACCTGCCTGCCCGGGGGCTCGGCCGGGCTCTGCTCTGTAGCCCCTCGCCCGCAGGGACAGCGGGACTCGATGCCAAACTTGGCCCTGACCTCATGCAGAAGCTTCCAGAGCCTGGTCAGGACTGGGGACAACAGGGACAAGGGTGTCAGCCCCCCAGCAGCGGGCAGGGGGGGGTTTCCCAGGGCTGGGGAACTCACTCACCACAGGTGGGCACGAACTGCGTGGGGACCAGGGCTGTGACGGGGTGGTCTCGCCCGGGGGTGCACTCAGGCGGCTGTGCTGGACCCTCTGTGTCAGAGACAGGGTGTGTTCGTCCCCACCGAGCCCCCACCCCAAGGGCTGACACCCCCTTTTCATCGCTCCCCCCAACCCCTTTCCACGTACCGGGGCCATCAGCCTCCCTCCTGCTGCGGTGGCAGTCGGGGCACAGCTGGAAGCCACATCTGGCGCAGCTCCAGTGGGAGTTGAAGAAGCCGCGCTGGCAGGAGTCGCAGAGCTGGGGGGCTCCTTCCCCCCTCCTCCAGGCCGTGCCCCCTGTGTGTAGCACAGCCTCAGCCTCCCCAGTGTGCCCAGTGTCCCCCAGTGTGCCCCCCATCCCGGTCCCCCCTTACCCTCGGGCCCGCCGGGGGCTCCCGGCCACGTGTCCCTGTCCCTGCGGACGGCGTCGCAGAAGGGGTCCCCCAGGACCCCCAGCAGATACTTGGCCAGGCAGAGGCTGCTCCCCACGTTCCTGCCCCCCGGCTCAGGTCCAGATTCCTCCAGCAGCTCCCCCTCGGCCTCCCCCAGGGTGCAGAGGCCATCGACGCTCAACTCCCCATTGTCCCCCAGGGCAAACCTGTGCAGAGAGAAAGGGGGGGGCAGGAGAGGGGCTCAGAAAGGGGGTGATGAGACAGGGAGGCTGAAAATCGGGGTGATGGGAGAGGGTCCTCAAAGGTGGGAGGGGATTCTCTGAAGTGGGGTGATGGGAGAGGTCGGTTTGAAGAGGTGAGAGGGGATGGTGTGAAGAGGGGATGCTCCGAAATAGGGTGATGGGAGAGAGTGTTCTGAAGTGGGGTGATGGGACAGGATGCTCTTAGTTGATGGGAATGATGGGGAGAGTGCCCCAAAGTGGGGTGGCAGGAGAGGTGGCTGCAAAGAGGGGTGAAAGGAGGGGATGCTCCAAGGAGGAGACGTTAAAAAGTGGTGTGACAGGAGGGGATGCCCCAAAGTGGGATGATGGGAGGGGACACTCCACCCTGTAAGCTCCCCAGGAGCCCTGGGCTCACCTGCGGAAGTGCAGCAGCCTGCAGGTGCTCTCGGGGGGCTCCTCCTCCTCCTCCTCGCCCTGGGGGTCCCCCGTGGCCCGGGGGGCACAGGCACAGCAGCGGGGGATGCCCTGGGGCAGCGCAGTGCAGGGCAGGCTCTGCAGGCACCACGGCTCCTGCCGGTTCGATGGCTCTGGGGACACGGGGAGTGCTTGGGGACACCGTGGAGCCCCATCCACACCAGCCAGGAGGGGCTGGGAGTGTCCACAGCCAGGTTGGAGGGGGCTGGGGACACCCTGCTCTGCTGGAAGGTGTCCCTGCCCACGGCAAGGGGTTGGAACAAGGTGGTCTTTAAGGTCCCTTCTAACCCAAACCCCTCCAGGACTGTGGGATTCTGTGACTGGCACGCTGTGGCGGGGGCTGGAAACTGGGCCAGAAAGTAGGGCTGGAAAGTAGGGCTGGAGCTCTGCAGAGGTCAGGGCTGAGATGCCAACACCTCCCCGGGGAGTCACTGACCCAGTGACGGCACTTCCACGCCCCGGGCATCCCACCCGAGGGTGCCACGCTGCCCCACAGGAGCATTTCCATCCATTCCTGCCCTGGGAATCGCTGCCAGACTCGAGTCATGCCAGGGAAAACCCCAGAGCAGCAGCTTTCCCAGCCCTCACGTGTGCCCAACTCGTGCTGTGGGCGCCGGGAC